AGCAGCTACCAGAATCTTGATTAGCTGATAGATAAAGATTGAATAAACCTCAGAGGAGGAGAGGTTATTGAGTGATGATGGCAAGAAGAGAAGTCCAGAAATGGCAATGGGGGCCAAGGAATATTCAGACTTCCCCACCATGACCAAGGAGTTGGGGGCATGAATGAAAGTGCAACCAATGGTGGAAAGGGTGGTCAGGGATATCATTTCATCATGAGGTCTCAGTGAGTGCAAGAAGGAAAGAGAATGAGAAAGGGAATGGTTTAAGATGAAAGCAAGTTTGTTACCGATGGAACTGGCATTCCAGAGCGCACAGGGCAAAGGGTGAGTAGCTTTAGAGTAGGAAGTTATGGGGTTCTTCTCTGTAAAATGAGGGGGTTGGACTCAGTGTTCTTTAATTTGTCTCTAATTCTAAAGCCTATCATCTAGGAATTGTTTCTCTGAGAGTAGTGATTTATTTTTCACATCCATACACTTTAAATAGTATTTTCAAGATCCACACTCTCTTAAGTGGTATTTACAAACTGAGTCCAGGTTGAAGTATGTTAAAAGTGATAATAGATTTAGAATGGAAGGGACTTCAGAAGTCTTAGCATCCAACTTTTTGAAACCAGGGTCTGAAGAGGTCAAGATATTTACCCCATGTCACACAGACAGAAAATAATGGAGTCAGAATTTGAAACCAGATCCTTTGACTACGAGCCCGGTGTTTATCTACTATTCATCCTTGCTGGAGAGTTAATATGGCAGAGTGGATAGAGAACTGGTCCTGGTTTTAATCTCTTTCTCTGATACATACTAGCTATATTATCCCTGGGTGTTCACTTATCCCAAACAGTTTTCTAAATCTCTAGTTTATGACCTAAATGCTATTCTGCATTAAAGTAGAGAATTTCTACACTGTGAATTCTTCACATCAGTGAAATCACATGTGTAAACTTAAAGAAAATTCACTGACATTTATAGAGCACTTTATGTACATTATTTCACTTGACCCTCAAAACTCTTATGGCATAATGATGTGAATATTATTACAACCCATTTTTATAGATGATAAAACTGAGGCTCAGAGAGTGTAAGAGATGACCGAGAGAGAGAGCTAGTAAGCTTTAGTAGAACTTAACAGGTTTCTGCGCTGCCTTCCCCCCCCCCCCCCCCAATAGACCAGTGGTATTTTCATTTGGTTATTGAAGAAAGTCACCTTCATTGATTTTGGGTATGGGATATCAGTTGTCATAAACTAACAAGTCTCAGAAAACACACTACTATGCTGTAGTTTTTGTACATTTGGGGAAAAGGGGAAAGGAGAATGAATTTCCAGTTGAGGCAAGATCTAGCCTTAGGGAAAAATATCTTTGAATTACTAATAATTTTCCAAGCATTGGATAAAAGCCTATGTGGATGAGTAACTTATTCTTGATTGGTGAATAGGAGGGGAGGAACAGAGGAAGTCCTAGAGGCTGTTAAAACAATGCTTGAAGGGATTATATTGTGGGCTTAAGAAACGTGAGGGCCTTAACCTATTGCTTCTTTTGCTCAAGCTGTTTATAGAGTAGCAGGAAGGGGTTTTCCTTAGGGGATTTCTGTTTGAGATATCTGGTCATTTCAGTTTTCAGTGTCAGAGATCAATAACGCTTCATTTCCATTCCCATGAGAACTCTCATCATCTGAGGAGGAGGAATTTGTTAGGGTAATTTTCTCACGGGAGTTCTAGCTTCTCTCAGCAGAAGCTGAGGGTCACAACCTGTTGTGTGGCAAAAGCAAGGAAGTCTTACAAGACCTCTCCTTTGCTGACACGCAGCTCCCACGGTTGGCTCGGCTCTCCTCTCATTGGGAGAAAAATCCTACTCATACCCCTGACACGAGGGCTGCAGGTGTCCGGCAGACTTGGTAAATGGCTATCATGTGGAGATCATGCTTTGATCAGGTATTACCAGGGATATAAAAGAAAGCTACTAGCACTTAATAAACGGAGCTTCTGCCCTCTTGCTGTCTCCCGCCTCATCAATGCGCCCCCGGGTTAAGAGTATTGAGCTGGTCTCATGCTCACCACTGCAGCGGCCGCGTCAGGAATTGTGCAAAGGAGTCATTTTAGTTTGATATTTCATTGACCTTTCCCATCTGGGATAAAGTTGGCTCAGAAAAGCTATTCTGTTCTCTTGGAAATTTTATAAAAATTTAATCAGACATCAGTAGCAGCTAGAACAAATTTAAGTGGCCTGTTAACGAAACTTGTAGATTTTATTTTATAGCTTTTTCTAGCCGGGGGGTGGGAGGGACATCAAACCAACATAGAAGAAGATAGCAATTGTTACTGTGGTTTCAGGTCCTATACCCCTCCTCACTGATTTGAGATGGTTTGTATTTATCTTTATCCTTGGCTAGAACAGCTAGTAGAATGGGTTAGACCAATGCCAGAGATTGTACACCAGGAGCTCTTAACATTTTGTGTGTGTGTGTGTGCGTGTGTGTGAGTGACAGATGCCTTTATCAGTCTGGTGAAGCCTATGGACACATTTTCAGAATCATGTCTTCAAATGCATTAAATAAAATATATAAGATAACACAGGAAACCAATTATATGGAAACACAGTTATATAAATATGAAAAAAGGCCATAGATACCAATTTAAGAAATCCTTGGTGGGATGGGGCTGTGTGTGTGTGTGTGTGTGTGTGTGTGTGTGTATTTGGTGGAGGGGGTTGAGGTATCAATCTTGCTGTAGACTCTCCAGGCATGGAAAGTCCCTTCAGGACATCTGCAATGGTCATAAATCTGGAAGGGACTTTTGAGGACAATTCCTTTATTTTTGCAGAGTTGGAAGCTAGGCCCATTGAGTTTCAATGTCTTGTTCAATGTCATATAGCTCAAAAGTGTCTGAGGCATGATATGGATGCTAGGTCCAGTGCTTTGTCCATGATGCTATTTAAGTTCAGGAAATTCTCAACTAACAAATGGTCTATGTACTACAGTTTTTTCTAAGTCTGATGTTTGAAACTTGAAAGACAGTTTCTTATGGAAGTTCTTATAAATGATAGTTTGGCTCCTGGAGTACTTGCTACAATCCTGTTTGACCCATGTAGTGACTGAAATATATACGTTTTTCCATGAAAAATATCAGCAACAATACTATTACAGTATTAATAAGTAAACAATACAATTGAATGTGATGTTATTTATTTTATTGTCTATTATTATTTACCTGAATGGTGAGTAGTTGAGGAAATGCAAGTTTTATTAGAATTGGAGGAGGAGAAAGATTCTGAAAGGGCCTCTGGGCACTTTCTATGTTCATATTTGATTCTATCTCTCCCCTGTCTTGCCCAGGTTAGTGTGTAGTGGGCACTCACCCGTCCATGGGCACTCTGCATTTATGTTGGAGTTGGTGCACACTCCCAATTACTTTGAGCCCTTTTGCATCTCCAGAACTCCCAAACTCCCAAATTCGAGCTATCCACCAGCTTCAGCTTCTTTCCAAGCAGGGATTACAGATGTGTACCACCATGCTTAGCCCTCTGGACACTTTGAAAGAGTTAATTGTTTTCCTTCTATACCAGACCTGTGTTTTCTGTAAACATTTTTTTTTAATATTTTGGTCTCTGCATTTCAATACAATTGGGTTTTTTTTTTTGCAATTCTATTAATTTTATTTTATCAATTTAAAAACATGATTCTGAGAAGGGTCCAAAGGTTTCATCCATCTGCCAATGGGGTCCCCAACACAAAAATGGTTAGGCCTCTTTTAAATATTATCAGCACTGTTTATCGACTCCAATGTTATTTCAAAACTTGAGTTATTATTAGTCTTATTAGTCATGATTCAAGTTGATTTGGGGCTCAGAGATGGAATGAAGCTCGTAAGATCATCTGAAATGTACCTTAGAAATCACTCAGTGCCCAGGGCTATGGTGGAACCAGCTCTAATGGGCAGCTGATTATTACATTTTCATTGGGGGCATTTATACCTTGGGAAATCTGCAAATACTACAAATCAGGGCTTGATTTGTTGTTTTGTGGATTGTACAGACATAAGAAAATGATAAAGAAAATGCTAATAATGCAGGTTAAACTTTTTTTTTGGGGGGGAGACAAGGCAATTGGGGTAAATGACTTGCCCAGGGTCACACACCTAGTAAGCTTCTGAGGCCGTATTTGAACTCATGACGATGAGTCTTTTTCCTGACTCCAGGCCCTGTACTCTAGCCACTATGCCGCCAAGTTGCCCTTGAAGGAGACATATCCCGAATACTGAATTGTTGAGGAGACCTTTGGGTTAATGCAGAGTTAATTCTATATAGTAGATGCTTTGATCAATGTTCCTTGAATTGAATTGGTTCTGGGGGAACATTGAATGAATATAGACAACTTCACTGAGGGAGAGGAAAGATGGTTGTGGGCAAAATCTGCGGGTCAATCAATGATCCTATATTTGGCCTGGCCACTAGAATGAATGTCCATGGGGCTCATCCTGAGGTGCATCTAATGTCTGGCAGTAGTAGGTCTCCCATTCCAAGATGGAACCCAACCTAGAAACATTTCCTTTATCTCCAGTAAGACAGAATGATTTAATCTTTCATTCCTTTGCCATAATATCATTTTTTTGCCATAGTATTATTATGTTATTCTATGCCTGAATGGTATAAGATGAAATGCTAATTTTAGTTCTATTTTAGCACCCTGCCAATGGTCGGTTCCTGCTGACCTCTCTGGGATCTGAAAAATAAAGAGACTTCAAAGAAACTTAACAAATGTTTGTACCTTCCCTTTAAAAGGATGTTTAATTTATTCAGGCTATATTTTGTTTGCACATGGCTGCTTATATGTTGGAATATAAGCCCTTTGAGAGCAAGGACTTAGTTTTTAAAAAATTTCTGTGTATCCCATTATTCCTGGCACATAGTAGGTTCTTAATAAATTATTTTTGGTTGCTTATTATTGACCAACAGTTCAGAGCTAGGAAACATGATTCCATTCATGAGGGAAAACAAAGCAAACATTACCTGATTTTCAGATAGGCGGCTACTCCAAACACCAGCAGCACCACTGCAATCACTGTCACGGTAATGGCTACCACGCTTCCTGCAAAGAAGGAAAAGGATGGAAGGAGAGAAGAAGACAAGGAATTAATTGATCTGGGCAAGTACATGACTCTGCTCCCTACCCAACCCCTTTATTTTCTCTGGGAAGGCTGAAGTCAACCAGGTCGTGTCTACTGTGCTTTCTGATGCATGAAATATAGAACTGTAGTGAAGTGTGGGTGCTTGCTTCTACCAACCAGGCTCTACTACAAATTGAATAAGAGGCAGTATATAGACCACGTGCTATGATTCACTGGCTGTCCCCCATGTCTAGAATACTCTTCCTCCTCATCTCCATCTCTTGGTTTCCTTCAAGTCCCAGTGCAGACCTTACCTGACCAGTCTTTCTTAACTACAGTGCCTTTCAACTGTTGATGATCTCCAACTTGTCTTGTCTATATTTTGTTTGTATGTAGTTTAGAAAAATGATTATTGGTAACTAATGATTTGGGGAGATCCAGAGTTCCTCCCTTTTTCTAAAGTCCTCATTTCAAAAGCTTAGTCTTTGAAGGTAGAATTAACTTTCTCCTCAATCCTGGTCAGACCCCACTCAACCTTCTCTACCCAGGTTTGGGTGGGGATAAATTCTTTGAATAGATTGCCCAAGGCTGGGGGTAACTTAGAAGTAAGTGACATAATCAAAATTCGTTAGAATAGGCCCAGCCCCTCATTATAACATTCATTTTCTCATTAATTGTTAACCAATCAGAGTTGATTGTCACCCTTTGGAACACCCACTTTTCCAAGGGCCTACCATGATGATCTTTGGCATTCAAGAGTGCCACTGACCTTTTTTTTTTTTTATTGATAACATTCTAGCCTTATTAATAAAATGATTGAATTACCCAGAAACTATGTCTCTTGAACTTTTTAAATGTCACAAAGTTGTTTGCATGTTGTCACTCCCATTTGACTGTGAAGTGAACTACTTCAGGGCAGGGACTGTCTTTATTTGTTTGTTTGTTTGTTTGTTTATTTATTTTGGCCTTTCTTTGTATCCTGAGCACCTAGGTCAGCTGCTGGCACAAAGTAAGTTGACTCTTAATGCATGCTTGTTGACTAACTGATGGGATTCTCTTTCCTGGCCATTAATTAAGTACTAGTGATGAAATTAAGCTGTGTGTGTAGGCTGGCTCTGAGATCCAAGAAGAGGCCTTGGGAGTATCAGCTCATGTTTGTAACTGGCATTGTCCCTGTAATTTTGGACCTGTCATTTAAAATCTCTGGGTGTCAATTTGGCAGAAACTGGGTATAGACCAATATCTTACACATTGACCAAGATATGGTCAAAATGGATACATGACCTAGATATAAAGAGAGCTATTACAAGAAAATTAGAAGAACATGGAACATATTACTTATCAGACTTATGGATAGGCAAACAATTTATGAATAAACAAGAGATAGAGAGCAGAGTTAGGTGTGAAATGGATAATTTTGATTACATTAAAATTAAAAAGGTTTTGTACAAATAAAACAAATGTATCCAAGATCAGAAGAAAAGCAGAAAATTGTGAAAATATTTTTGTAGACAGTTTCTCAGATAAAGGTCTTATATTTCAAATATGTAAAGAACTTTGTCAAATCTATAAGAATATAAGTAATTGGGGAGGAAGAATAGAAAGGAAAAAAGAAATTTATAGGATAACTTTATTCTATATTTAAATGGAATAGCAAGTTATAAAATAGATTTATAGTTTCATGTGCAATCATTTTTTGAAATTATACTATGGTATGGAAATGCTTGTTTTATCCCATAAGGTAAAAATAAAATAAATAAAAATTTTAAAAAGAAAGAATATCTAGAAAAACAATTTCCATTTCAACAGTTTTTCAAAGCTGTATTTTCTCAGGATACATAACATGGGTCTGTGACTATGTAAAGAACTTTGTAAAAACGAATAAACACTGTTTGCTTTAGTTGTATAACAGAAAATATTAAAGCTTATTTTGAATAAAGAAAAATCTTTGAGTGCCTTATTATCTTCATGCATAGACCTTGGTCTGTACTGTGACTTACATATAAAGCAACTCCAGTGGAAGGGAGGTGATCCAGTGACTTGCAAAGTGGTTGGTGCATAGTAGTGTTTTAATGAATGCCTATTGATTGGTTATATATTACATAGGACTAAAATAATATAACTATTTATTTTAGAAATGTAAACAAAGCAGAACTCTCACATCTAGATGAGTAGGATCTCTTTCAAAGAATAGATAGGCAGATAAAACATTTACTAAGTACTTGCTATGTGTCAGACACTGTGCTAAGTGTTAGAAATAGAAACACAAGCACGGCAGTCCGTGACCTCAAGGGTAATGATATTAGGAGGACCACACAGAGAGATATTGGAAAGGCAGAGAGCCAGGGGGAAGATTATGAAAAGGCTGGGAAATGACATGGAGGCCTGGGCCCTGGCAAATAAGAGCAAAAGCTCACTTATCAGAAGTATCAGAAGTGCATGAGATTTGAAGTCAGAAGACTTGAGTTCAAAACCAGCCTCAGATGCTTACTAACTGTGTGACCCTCAGAAAGTAAATTAACCTTTGAAAGACTCAGTTTCCCCATTTGTAAAATGGGGATGATAATAGCACTTACCTCGCAGAGTTGCTGTGAGCATTAAATGAGATAATACATACAAAAGCACTTTGTAAACCTTAAAGCATTATATAAATGAAAGCTATAATGATGATGAAAGCGAGAGAGAGGATAGGATGAGTTGGGGAAAGAATGAGTAGTCCAGTTTGGCTACATTATAGGGTGCAGGCAGGACAGTATCTTGAGGTAAGTCTGGAAAGGTAAAGTTGGGTCCAGACTGTAGAGTCTTTAAGATGGGGCTTCCTTCAAGTTCCAACTAAAATCCTCCCTTCTCTAGGAAGTCTTTCCCAATCCCGCTTCATTCTGGGGCCTTCCGTCTGTTTATTATTCCTTACTGATCCTTAATATAGCTTGCTTTTACATATTTGTTTGTCTGCTCTCTCATTAGAACGTAAGCTCCTTGAGGACAGGGGCTGTCTTTTGCCTCTCTTTTTATCCTCAGTATTTAGCACACTGCCTGGTTCATGGTGTTGTTGAGTTGTTTCAGTCATGTCGGACTCTCCGTGACCCCATTTGGGGTTCTCTTGGCAAAGATACTAGAGTAGTTTGCCATTTCCTTCTCCAGCTCATTTTTCAAATGAGGAAACTGAGGCAAACAGGTTAAGTGACTTGCCCAGAACCACACAGCTTGTAAGTGTCTGAGGGTGGATTTGAACTCAGGTTTTCCTGACTCCAGGCCCTGCATTTTATCCATTGCACCACCTAACTTCAGGAGAAAAGTAAGGAATGCCTAAACTTAAGTAGCAGTGGCAGGAATGTAGCGGGATTTCTTTAACATTTATTTTTAAGTCCAAACATTTTGTTTCTAGGGGTTCACATCCAGAAAGGTGCAATTCTCCCTGATTTCCTGTTAAGTATAATTATAAAATGAAATGATCACAAGTGTTCCCGCTGACTCAGCACAAAAATGATTGTTTCTTTAGCCCCAGAGGCTAAATTTTAAATCTCTGGCCCTGTTTTGAAAGGCTGCTTTCTGCTTTGGGGGAAAGGGGAGAGGTCTCCAAAATGGATTGAGCTGGGAGCAATGGAGCGTTCACCAGCTGAAAAGCCTCGGTGCAGTTTTCCAGGCACTTCATGCTTCCTAATGGTTCTTTTCAAGTGCCCTGGAATTTTCACAAGCTCAGGAAAGAATGCCTGTAACCTGGAGGGGAGGAAGGAGGTGGCTTGGAGGATGAAGAGGGTCAGTGATTGCTACTTAGTAAGGTAGTTTTGAAAATTAACCCCTCTGCTCCTTTTTCTCTTTAATTATCCTTTTTATGGGGAGTTTAAAGAGAAATTACATAAACTCTTTGTCCTCCTTTCCAAATTTCTCTCACTTGGTTCCCTCCATCTGTTTGCTTCAGGCATATTCGTAGTTTTGGCTTTCTTTGGGAAAATTTTTGTCTTGACCAGCAAGATGACAAAAAATCATCATTTTCTGCAGACCTATTCAACCCTGAAACCTCAAAAGAAAGGAATTAAGAGCCAAATATATAGACATCACACATGGACCTACAAGGTAAAAACCTCATGAGTTAATTCCGGAGAACTTAGTACTTAGAGCTCTCACCCAGAGGATCTCCCCATCTCCCATGTGCCCACTAACATGAGTACCAGCAAACTCATGGGATTGTGACTGGGGGATTGGCTGGAGGGAATCATTCATAGCAATTTATGCCCCCACCTTCTTGATGTCCCCCCCCCCCCAAAAAGCAACAATCACTAATTCCATCTTTCTACCTAAGTGAAAAGAGGATGGAGATGTAAGAAGGATTAAAGGATGCTATGTTCAGAATCATAGGCTATGGGCTAAAGCACACCAGGCCTGATTGGAAAGGAGACTGGAAAACTCAACTGATTTCCACATTGTCCAAAGAAAGGAGGTTAAAAGTCTAGCTTAGCTAAGGGTGTCTGTGTCCCCATGTGAGGAGTAGGGACCAAAGTGTGAGTGGCAGAGAACACAAGAGAATACCAAAAAGACCAAGAGAAAAAATGAATAAAAATTTACTATGTAAATAGTTGAAGCAGCAGAGAGTAGCCTAAAAACAGAAAGGAGGATGAATAAAAACTCAAAGAGAAACCAAATCACATTGAAGAAATATCGTATCAAAGAAAGTGAGCCAATATTGCCTGGTGGAAGACAAAATCCTGTGAATTAACCAGAGATTATGAACTATCAGCAAGGAATTCCAGAATGGCTCAAAAAAAGAAATAAAAGAAAAGAAGAAATTAGGACTGAATTTATGTCAGAAATTGGAATTCAGCATATGCCTATCTGACTTCTTCTTTTCTCTCTCCTTTGCTGGATTATCCTCCAGATCACTCACTCTCCCCATAGGTGTCCCCCAGGGGCTCTGTCCTGGGTCCTCTTCTCTTCTCTTCTCTCTCCATTCTACTCCACTTGGTGAACTCATCAGCCATCATGG